TAAAGGCTTCTAGATGGCAAAAGACCGACAGCAGAAGCCACCAGGTAGCAAGCCCAGGGACAAGCTCATGGAATCCATAGCTAAACAGAAAAGTCCCCCAGACGCTGTGATGACCCAGCAGTACCTCCCTTGAGAAGGATCCTTAGCCGGCACTACCTCAAATGCTGTATTGCCTGTTGCTGTCAATGTGGTCACATTCCTGGAAGTATCCTATTTAGAGGTGGAACTTAGCTGAGGCTGGAGCAGGCATTTGGACTCGTGCTACCTTTCTGCCTCTAATGCACCTCTAGGCTGGTACACTCTCAKGTCCTCCTGGAACTTGAAAGGTAAAACATGACATGAAAACTACATAGCAATGGCTTTTAAGATGAAAAAGTACTCCTTCTAGGGCTGGGGTTGTGACTCAGTAGTAGAGTGCTTGCCTAGCATGTGTAAGGCACTGGGTTTGATCCTCAGCACTACATAAAAATAAATGAAATAAAGGTATTTTGTCCATCTTCAACTAAAAAAAAAATACTCCTTCTAGGGCCTGGTACAGAATCTGTGGAGACTGCCTCTGTGACTAGGGCAGAGTTGTGGCACAACCAACTCACATTTGTTTTTCCAGTTTCCACTCCTGGTCTACCTTCGATCTCCCTTTCCACCACCTGCCTCCACCTCTGGGTCTGGGCCGGCACATCTACCCTGGTGCCCTTTAACTCACATGGTTTGTGCTTTTTGCCTATCTGGCTGTCCCAACTGCCATGTYCCCCTGTTCCACTTGAGAATGCACAGGCCCTCAAGACATCCTGCAAATACCCTTTCTCCATGCTGCTCTCCCTGTCTTCTTCCCCCAAACCTGAGAGACATTTTCTCTGTAAGCCCAGGACGTTTTGCTAGTACCATTTAATGGCATTTTCACTTTTAAGCAAATAGACACAGAAAACAGCTTTCAAAATACATGTAAAATATATAAGGCCTTTGGAAAAGATCCAGTATTCATCAACTGATGGATAGATAGATAAAATGTGGAGCCACACAATGAAGCATCAGAGACACTACACAAAAGAACCCTGAAAACAAGTTGCCAAATAAAAGGCAGACACGAAAAACACATTGTTTTACTTATGTGAAATGTCTGGAACAGGTAAATGCAGACAAGAAGAGTAAGAGGAACAGACACAGGGTCTAAGGCTTCTCCTGGGGGTGATAAAGTTTTCCAAACTAGATTGTGATGATAATTTTGGAATATAACCAGAAGCCATGTAATTATATACTTCGGGTGAATTGTATGGCAAATGAATTAAATCTTAATATATATTTTTCAAATGTAGGGCCTCACTAGATAAGTGCTCTACCTCTGAACTATATCCCTGGCCTATAAAGCAGTTTTTAAAAAAATACAAAGAGGGGCTGGGGATGTGGCTCAAGCGGTAGCGCGCCCATCTGGCATGCGCGCRGCCCGGGTTCGATCCTCAGCACCACATACAAAAAACAAGGATGTTGTGTCTCCTGAAAACTAAGAAATAAAATATTAAAATTTTTTTTTCTCTCTCTCTCTTCTCACTCTCTCTTTAAAAAAAAAAATAAAAAAATACAAAGAATAATGACAGGCTGGGTGTGGTGGCACCTGCCGGTTATCTTGGTGACTCAGGAGGATGAAGTGAAAGGATCACTTGGGCTCATGAGTTTGAAATCAGACCTATCTCAACAACAACAACAACAACAACAAAAGGTCAATAACAGAATGAACACAACACCCCCACAGACCCACAACCTACTTTAGAAAGAGAATGTCGGCACTTCTTTGAACATCTCTCTGTGTCCCTCTGTACCATGAACCCTATTTCCTGACTCTCAAAGGCAACTGCTATCCCAATATTAATATCTTGCTTTTATACTATTATCTTCTGGAATGTCTTTTCATAGAATTAACAGTGTTTTTAAAAGTGAAGACATTCTAATAACAGTGGTTTTTTTTTTTTTTTTTTTTTGATAATAGGGATTGAACCCAGGGGCACTTTACCACTGAGCCACATCCCCAGACTTTTTAAATTATTTATTTTGAGACAGAGTCTTGCTAAGTTGCTTAGGCCTCCACCAAGTTGCTGAGGCCAGCCTTGAATGTGATCTTCCTGCCCTAGCCTCAAAAAAAATCTTAGCTTGGAAAAACTCAATATCAATTTTTAAAATAGATTATGCTTTTGGTGTCTTTCTTATTAAATCTTTGCCTAACCAAAAGTTAAAATAATTTTATTCTATGGTTTCTTAAAATTTCAGAGTTTTAGATTTTATATTTAGCTCTATGACCATTCTGGGTTGATTCTTATGGTGCAAAGTTATGAATCAAAAAATTAATTTGGGGGGCTGGGGGTGTGGCTCAAGTGGTAGCGCGCTCGCCTGGCATGCTTGCAGCCCGGGTTCGATCCTCAGCACCACATACCAACAAAGATGTTGTGTCCACCTCAGCTTCTCAAATTGCTGGGATTATAGGTTTTGTGCCTCTGTGCCTGGCTWACCTGTTATTTATTTTACTATTCAAATGATTCCATTATGAGCTGGGCCCAATGGCATGCCCTTGTAGTTCCAGCTATTCAAGAGCTAAGGTGGCAGGATCACTCAAACCTAGGTGATTGAGACTAGCCTAGTCTAACATGGCAAAAGCCTGTCCCAAAACAAAAAACATCACATCTGTCATCCCAGCTACTGAGGAGGCAAAGGCTGAAGAATTCTGAGTTCAAGTCCAGCCTGAACAAGCAGCTGCCTCAAAAATAACTGAATTGTTCCGTTTTAGACTTAGCAACTTTTAACTCTTCTAACATAGATCATAAAAGAGCTAAGTACTGTATTAGCAGAATATCACAAATTTTGATGTTGTGCTTTCACTTTTATTCAGTTATTTAATCATTTTCACTGTGGTATATTTCATTATATTTAAATGTCAAATTTTTCTATTCTACTGTTGATGGACATCTGAGTGATTTTCAGTCTTCCATCATGAAGCATGCTTCTACAAAGATTCTTGTTTGTTTCTTAGTACTTATTATGTATCAGGGTTGGGTGTGGGGAACATAAGGATTCATATTTCAATTCCATTAGATAATGCCAAACTAGTGGGGGCAGTGGTGCACATCTATAATCCCAGCAGCCCAGGAGACTTGAGGCAGGAGGATCTTAAGTTCAAGGCCAGCCTCAGCAACTTAGCAAGGCCCTAAGCAACTTACTGAGACCCTGTCTCAAAAAAAAGTTAGCTGGGCTTGGTGGCACAGCCAGCTTCAACAAAGGTGAGGCACTAAGCAACTCAATGAGACCCTGTCTCTAAATAAAACACAAAATAGGGCTGGGGATGTGGGTTAGTGGTTCAGTGCCCTGAGTTCAATCCCCTGTACTAAAAAAAAAGTTAAAAAGGGTTGAGAATGTGGCTCAGTAGTTAAGCACCCCTGGATTCAATCCCCGTACCAAAAAAAAAAAAAAAAAGAATCATAGCCTCTGGGACAGGAGTCCCTGTGTTTCTCCTTTGCTAGCAAAGCAATAAAACATTTTTCCTTATTCTAAAAACAAACAGGAACTTGTTCAAGTGTTGTTTCCACTTTTCTTATTGAGTATTTCTATATCTTTTTTAAAGTTTCCTTCAGAGCAATTTGTTTAAGTGTATACCGCATTTATAAACTAAAACTGAGGATTTAATAGGATCTTCATTTAAAAAAAAAATCTAAATTTACAGTCATCTATTTAAGATTTTTTTTTTTTTTTTTGTGCCAGCAATTGAACCCAGCAAAATCCCACTCAGCAAAATCCCCAGCCCTTTTTATTTTGAGACAGGGCCTTGCTAAGTTACTGAGGCTGGCTTTGAACTTGTGATCTTCCTGCTTTAGCCTCCTAAGCTGTTGGGTAAATAAGATTTTTAACGAATTTTATTTTTCAATAAGTTATGCTGGRGGGGCTGGGGTCGTGGCTCAGTGGTAGAGCGCTCACCTAGCATGTGTGAAGCCCTGGGTTCGAGCCTTAGCACCACATAAAAATAAATAAAATAAAGGTATTGTGTTCAACTACAACTAAAAAAAAATAAAAAGTTAAGCTAGGGCTGGGGTTGTAGCTCACTGGTAGAGTGCTTGCCTCGCAGCATGAGGCCCTGGGTTTGATACTCAGTACCACATAAAAAAAATAAAGAAAGAAAAATGAAGATATTGTGTCCATCTACAACTAAAAAAAAATATATTCTAAAAAAAAAAAAAAGTTATGCTATATGTTCTTTAAACTGATAAGACTAGCTTTATCCCCCCCCACCCCCAAGGCCCATCTTTATAAAATACAAGTCTGTAGGCCAAAGAAAGAATCAGTTATTTGCATTAAAGTATCACTGCTGGGGGAGGGGGAGGCTGGGGTTGTGACTCAGTGGTACTGGTGCTTGCCTAGCATGTATGAGGCACTGGGTTCGATTCTCAGCACCACATATAAACAAATAAATGAATAAAAGGTCTGTCAATAACTAATAAAAATTTTACCAAAAAAAAAAAAAAAAGTACCACTGCTCTATTATTTGTTTTCCTGAATGGGTGGCTTCTGTTGCCAGAGCACCTCTGGTGGACTCTGATGCCAGAGTAACAAGGTAAATGAGATGACTTTCATAATACAATAAGTGGAGGGGAGTCTCAATCAGCCATGGCTTAAAAGTATCATGTGACTTCTTGTGGGGCGGAGTCACGGTGTGAAGGCTGGTGATAGTGGCCCCTGCCCTGTACCTTGCACAGAGCCAACCATACTCCCTTTCAGAATGGTGGCTCTAGTTGTGGTTTTAAGTATAGAGCAGGAAACTATGTTTTCAGTGTGACAAAATACATAAAGGGGAAAAAAGAGATTCTACTGAAACAAATAATGCTTGATTAGGAGAAACCCTTCCTTGTGTGAGTTGTCTTAACAAACTCCACAGCACCCTGGGGAATCCTGTCATATTCTGGTAACACATAAACATAAATACCTCAGGAACTGTACTGTATTAAAAAGATCACACATGCACTTACCCCACGGACAAGATAAGCTGTCCTGCACACAGACTGCAGTGCGATCACATTTGAGGTTGTCTGTAAAAGGAACAGGGAGATGAGCTGACAACAAAACATTCTTCAAAAATGAAAAATATTCCCACTGCTGTTCTGTTAAAACAGTAAGTGAAAACCAGCAGGGGCACGTAGCTTCTGCTTCTATGCCTATTGCTCTCTAGAAGTGACTCAGTCTCATCCTTCTCTCTGGCCTAGGCCAGAGGCAGAGTAACCAGGTGCTTCTGTGCTCTTGGACAATCTTAAGTTTTTTTCAGCCATTAAACTCAAAGACTGCTTAAAAAGGGTCAAAGGTCTCCATCAGGCAGGAGCACAGGCATCTCCACGGACAACAGTTTGGTTTGGCAGTGGCTGCAAAATAACTTGTGTTTTCTTGCCTTCTGTGGGAGCAGTTACCAAACAATGTGAAGTTCTGTGCACTGTTGGGCATGGTGGCACAAGCCTATAGTTCTAGCTACTTAGAAGCCAAAGCAGAAAGATTGCTTGAGCTTAGAGTTGGAGACCGGCCTGGACAACATAGGGAAAGCCTGTCTCAAGAAAACAAGTTTTGTGCAAGATTTCTGTGACATAATATTGTGTCCTCTTGTTCACAGTCACTGGTAAATTAAATTCCTCTGAAGCTGTCATACCCATTGCTCCCTGAGGATGTTTGATTTTGCAGGTTCATAAGATTGTGTGGAATACTGGGGTCCTGTCCACTAGCTTTAAAAAAGCAAGGAGCAAATTTTCAAGGGGAAAATGGTCACATCTGAAATGTTGAAGTCGATCAACTACATGCCAACCTTCCCATCTCAAGAGGGGCACATACTAGCAGGACATAATGACTGAGGTTTTCACAAGACTCAGATGCCATCTTGCACAGTTTTAAGTCTAGACCTGTCTCCATCTGTATCTTTCATTCATTCATTCATTCACACAGCCTGTGTGAGGCATTAGGTTCGATTCTCAGCACTGCATATAAATAAATAAAATAAAGGTCCATTGACAACTAAAAAATATTTTTTAAGAAGTATGATTTTGTTTGTTGCTGATGAACAGAAATACAAATGATTTTGTATCCAGCAATACTACTACGTTTCTCTTGTGAACTCTTATCTAATTTTTCTAATTTGGAATTTGCATAAACTTCAAATGAAGCTTTTCTTTCTCCTTTTTAATTATTAGTTTTGTTGTTTTTTTATTCCACCTTATTACACATAGAATGTAGGAATGGGCTTTTTCACCTGGCACCTGAGCTCTAATAGCAAGCTTCAGTCCTTCACTATGAGTGTCAGGGTGGAGAGACTTCTACAACAATCAGGCAATCTTCAAAACCTGAAAGCCCTATTACAACTAGCCTTGGCTAACAAGTTTTTCTCTCTGAGCAGGGACAAAAATTCATCCATGGCCTGATTTTGTCTCTACCTGGTTTAGCCCTGCTGTACCTAGCTCTAGACCACCAGGTTTAGATTCACCACTACACCTACTTCCTGCCATGGACTGCTACCCAGTCCAGTAATTCCTACTTGTGAGGCCTGACAGCCTTCAATGAAAGAAGGGCCAGCTCCCCTCACTTACCTGAGTGGCCATTCCCCAAGCCCTGGCTCTCAGCCCCCTGTCCGTCCAGGACCCATGGGTCTTCCCCTCGTTCCAGCTGGGAGATGACATTGGGCTTGGATCCTGGAAGTCCTGCTCGAGGGGAAGGAAGCCTTTTATTTATACAACATCTACCCAAATACACTCCCACCCAACCTATGCCACCTTTGGGGACATGAAGACAGACAGGACTGACCTCCTGCTGCAGTGGAGCACACTGGAGGTAGGTGAGCCCCCACCAATCTCACACAGAAACACACAATGAAGCATGTGGGTGGATTTACCCAGTGAAACCACGTTTCCGTAGGTCTCCATCATTACGTTTCGGTAGAGGCCCCGCTGTGCAGGGCCCAGGCGATCCCATTCCTCCTGAGAGAGCAGCACAGCTACATCCTCGAAGGTCACCTTAGCCTGGAACAACAGGAATTCTTGGAGTAAGACCAAATCTTGATGTCTAGGATGGGGTTGTGGGTACATGCCCAGGCAGCTGAGTGTGGGACCCTGTGAGCCAAGGGTGGGGTTCATAAGAAGAAGCCATAAGTTCCGGGGATGCAGTGATACTCAGGCTGCCACAGGGTCCCTGGGCATGGAAGAAACCATAGGGGCTGTGGCCAGGGATACTACACAGGCCTTAGGGACAATTTACCTGGTGTTCTGCTGGCAGTGGCAGGAGTCTGGCAGTTGCCATTACTTTGTTTCTTGGGCCTCTGAGGATGACAAAAATTGGAGGTTCCTGTGGGGCTGTGGAAGGGGAGGGAACATGTGAGGGGCCAGGCCTTGCCTCTGACAGATCCTGACTTCCTGCAGGGAGCCCCAGGGGTCCTTGGTCCTCATGCAGAGCCAGAGAAGAGCATGCTGAGGTGAGACCCAAGGAGCAGCACCCACCACAGGCCTGCTGTTCCACACACTTCCGTGCCAGAACTCTGATCCTACAGTGCAGGAACCTGTCCAAGCYCTGAACAAACACATGGTTCCTGGGCCTTCCTAGCCAGAGCAGGGCTCTCTGGCTATAGGCCCAGAAAATCCCAGTTAGGAAGTGCCAAGGGTCTCTGAGCTCCAGATAAAGGGTACCTGATGCTCTCTAAGGGCTCAGGGTCCCAAACCTTCATTACCCAGGCCCCTGGTAGTCCTCATGGTCAAACCTGTGCAGGGGAGCCAGTGAGGACTCTGGACCATGACCACATATGGACTCTGGACTATGCTGCTGAGCCAGAGGATGCCAGCTCACCAGGGCTCCTGCATGTTCTACACCCAAGGTACATGCATTATGTGGGTTTACAAGCATTAGGCTAGGCTGCCTCCCCAAGCACCCTCCCAACAAGAAGGGGGACAGCCACCAGTGTGGGACTAGGTGGTCTTGCTCAAGGCCCACACTCCTGTGGAGACCCCAACCCACAGATCCATGGTCACTCCTAGACATCCTTTGGTGATCCTGGTGCTCCAATAAGGTAGGGGCTCTCAACCCTATGGCTTGGCCATGGTGTTGGAAGCAGAAACACGAGCAGTGGTGGTTCGGAGTGAACTGAGTCCAGAGTGACCCTAAGGATCTGGTCTGAGACTAGGGGAGGCTTCATCATCAATGAGAAGAGGCCTGAGGCTGGGTAGGTGCTGGGGATGCAAGAGGACAAAATAAACAGAGGTGTCCAACATAACCCAGTAGGCTAGGGAAAGCGAGGACTGAGAGGTCTCCTCACAAGAGACCTCTTTGACACAGCTGGTCCAAAAGAGGATGGGTCATCTTCTGGAGCATTGAGGGAGGTCTGTGACAGTGACTCAGAGCCTAGCCTGTGACAAAGGCAAAGCACATACTGAAAACATGGTACAGGGGCTGGATTTTGGCTCAATGGTAGAGCACTTGCCTAGCACGTTTGAGGCACTAGGTTCAATTCTCAGCACCAAAAAAAAAGAAAAAGAAAAAAAAAAGATATCATGTCCATCTACAACTAAAAATATTTTTTAAAAAGTGATATAAGAGCACAATTAACAGTGTCCCACACTTGTGGCCCTCACCACTCAGAGGCTAAAGTAGGAAGACTACATGTTTGAGGCCAACCTCATCAACTTAGCAAGACCCTGTTTCTAAATAAAATAGAAAGGGCTGGGAAGTAGCTCAGTGGAGATTGAGTCTCTGAGTTCAATCCTCAGTACCAAAAAACAAAACCAACAAAAAAAACCAGTCAATCCTTTTAAGCATCTGCAACTGGCTTAGCTGGGCACCATGACAAATAGGACTCTTCAAGACACCTGGGGTAGGAGGTCAAGGGTGATCATTCCCTGTTTTCTTTATAAAATGTCCAATATACACACATCTCTGCATACACAATTATCAGGAAGATACACAATAAACTAACAACTACTGCCTCTGAGGCACAGGAAACAGGTGGAGACACAGGCTGATTCCCAATCTCCCTATTCTGAAGTTCTCCAAAAGCTCACGTTTCTGTGGGTGCAAGTGCAATGCAATCCTACTTAGAATTCCCAAAGGAGTCTCTGCATAAAACTGCCTTACAATTCACATGAACATATAWTGGAAAATAGGCAAGAATGGAATTCAAAAGAGTGGGGAAGTATGTATGCAGTGGGTACCCAGCGAACCAGGTATCAGCCAGTGATGAAGCTGCTGCAATCAAACCAGAGAGTTGCCTATAAGGGACAGATGGAGCCAAACACAGGTAGAAGCATGGATTTAAAAGACTACAAGCATGGGTGTGGTGGTGCATTCTATAATCTCAGAAGCTCTGGAGGCTGAGGCAGGAGGATAACAAGTTCAAAGTCAGCCTCAACAACTCAGTGAGGCCTTGTCTCAAAATAAAACATAAAAGGGGTGGGGGTGTAGCTCTGTAGTTAAGCACCCCTGGGTTCATTCAATCCCTGGTACCAAATAAACCAACAAACAAAAAACAGATAAGCAGTAAATTTCAGTTCAGTGGGAAGCCATGGTTAATTTACTAACTTATGTATCTCCAGATGGGATATGCACTAACCAACTCTGGATTAGGTAAAGATGGTGTGTGAACATAAACCTGCCTCACTGCTCTGCTTCCTCTCTTCTGGCTCACTTTCCTGACACCTGCCTGTCCTTTAGTAGAGTCGCACACCTTGTCTCCCGCCATACCTGTTGTTTCCATGACATCATGCACCAGGAGAGATCTGCATCTCCTGTCATTTAACTACCCTCCCAGGGACCACACCCTTATCCAGCTACCTCCCATGGGAGTAGACCCTCCCCAAGTGGTCTCCATTCCCTTCATCTCTTCAGAGGAGCAGTCTTTACAGTCTTAGCTTCTGCCATCCCAAACAGCCCTGGTCAGTGTCTCCTTTGATCTCTATGTGGCCAAGTCCTTGTTTACTGTTGGCAGCAGGGACACAACTGGTCTCTTGGGTACCACTCTCTAAATGGGGCCTTCTCAAATGCATCCCTCGATCACCCCCTTCCTCGTTCACTAGGTATGCATGAGAATTTGGCCTTCAGTAAATGCTCAGATTTGGTTCCCTGGAAACCTGGCAGAAGTCAGCTTGCCAAGTCACACTACAGCCCCGACTTCACCTGGGTGAAGGACCAATGACGATCAACCAGAGGAACCACATCTGGGGGCTCCCAGCAGGTCTCCAGGTCTGAAAGCCTGACACAGGAGATGCTGCTTATGTGACAATGACAAGGTTTTGGGGCAGGCCAGTTCCCATTCTTGCTTGCRTCCTGTGCTGGTGGATGATACCAGTTTCCTTGTAAATCTGATGCCAAGCATGGTTATCCCACGAGCCATGATGTTAAGCCCAGGAGATCCAGCCTCTGGTGCCTCTGAGCTGGCTATCACCATTCCCTCCAATTCAACGTCTTCACATGGACATCTCGTAGCATCACAGACATTTAACATCCAATACTAAGTGGGGAGCCACAGTGCCACAGATCCAGAGTGCAGCACCCACCCCCTTCTATCCCGGCATGGTCTATAAACCTATACAGCCTCCTCCCCTCTTCATTCTCTCACACCAACTCCTAGTCTACCATCCTCACTCAACCTGACCACACTGCCCTGTGACCACCCCTTATCAGTCTTATGGCTCCCAACACCATATCTGCCTAGCCACTCCATCTGCCTTCTCAGGGAAATAYTATGATTGTCTTCTGCTCAGAAGTCCTTCCAGTCCCCAGTTCAGCTCCCAGGAAGCTATTCTGAATTTTACAACCTTCTTCAGGTAGCTGCAGCCTCTTCACCTCCTGGAGGCCAACATCCCACTCAGCTTTCACACCACCCCTTCCTGCTGTACCAACAAACCAGAGGGAGGCCCAGCAGAGTAGTCCATGGTGGAACATTTGCTAAAGAAATTAATGAAATTACAGGAGGAAAGAGATTACACTTTAAAACTTTTGGCACAGCAACAGGTAAGGAGCGTACGTCCTCTGCTGGCAGAGATGGTGATGCAGAATTTCTCATATTCTTTCTCAGGAAGGCCACCTACATCTCTAAGCCAWTCAGACAGGCCCTGAGAGACCAGGTACCCTAGGGGGATAGACACAAGCAACAGCAGATACAACAATGGCGTTGCAGCAAATGTCACCACGGTTGGGACCTGCCAGATGATTTATACTGTGAGGGCTACCTGAGAGTCAAAATATGGGGTGGGATGACACGTGGATGATGCTCTTATTTTGTATACCATGACCCAAGTCCGAGAAGGGTGTGTGTGTGTCACAGGACCTGGGGCCAGCCTGCTTGCCATACTCTGGGTCTGTGGCACTGCAGCTCCCCCTTGCAAAGCTGGGAGATGACACCCTCAGGGCCTTACAGATATTAGGTGAGCAGAGAGTGCTCACAACAGGAGTGACTTAGATGCTGCTGGACGAGATGATATTATCTGATTCAAAGAGATTAACAGAAGGAAAACTGAAAGACATACCAGGTTGCCAATATGTGTGTGACCAGGAGGGAGGGAAAAGATGGCTAGCTGAGCGAGCCTTAGATCAGAGGGTAGTATCATATACTGTGGTATGGATGAACTACACATACTGCCAAGTTAAAAAAAAAAAAAAAAGAAAGCATAACACAAAGAAAGCATATCACATATGGCTGTATTCTCATAAAATTGAATACAATGAATTTAAAAATTGGCACTACCTAATTTTCCATTTTTATTTACTTCTGCACTGGCAGACAAAAGTCTGGGTTTCCGGTAATATGCCTGTGACAGGACGCCAGGATGGGTGAATACTATGCCTCAACCTAAAGCTCAAGTATGAGGCAGGGAAGTGCAACTACTGGGGTCACCGAAAACTTTTCTTTTTCTTTTTTTTTAATACTTAGGATTGAACCCAGAGGGATTCCACCACGGAGCCACATCCCCAGCCTTTTTAAATTTTTTTTTTTTTTTTAAGAGAGAGTGAGAGTGAGAGAGAGAGAGAGAATTTTTAATATTTATTTTTTAGTTCTCGGCAGACACAACATCTTTGTTGGTATGTGGTGCTGAGGATCGAACCCGGGCCGCACGCATGCCAGGCGAGCGCACTACCGCTTGAGCCACATCCCCAGCCCCCCAGCCTTTTTAAAATTTTGACACAGGGCTCATTAAGTTGTTGAGGCTGACTTTGACCTTGTGATCCTCCTGCCTCAGTCTCCCAAGTCKCGGGGAATCACAGGTGTGTGCCACTGCATGGTTTCCTCCAAGGGTCCCCAGGCTCAATTCCGGGCTTTGCTCTTTGAGAACAACATAGGAGTTCAGACAGAAAAGAAGCATGGTGTGTATATTTTTTTTAAATATTAAAGTGCTGGCTCTTAAAAAGTCCTGTAAAGATGCCGGGATAAGAGACTGGGACAAAATGGAAGTCACTGCCACAGAATATCAGAAATGGAGTCTGAGGAGGCTATGATTGTGCTTTGTTACTACCTAAATATGGGGCAAATACAAAYAGCACCCATGCACAGTGCTGTTGGCACCCACATGGGGTCACAGCTAAGCAAAGTTCCTACACACTCACTTGCCAAAAGGAGAATGGCAACAAAAAGGGTTCATTCTGCAGATTCAGGAATCTTGCTTTTGGAAATGTTCATGGGCAATAACCCAAAACAAAACCTCCCAGCAGCAATGATGACATAAGGAGAAATGGAAGGAGCCATACTGCAATGAGACTCTGCCCGGAAGGGATCTGGCCCCTGGGATCATAGCCAGGCAGGATTRCAAGCACAAGAACTAAGGTAGGACCGCCATAGCACGAAGAGCACAGAATGTGAGGTCTGCATAGACACATATACATCTGTTTTGTAAACTAAGCCTAGAAATCAGTGATTCTTTTTGGAATTCCTGATGGTCTTGATGTGACAGAATGAGCATGTACCTGTCCTTCCAGAGGACCCTGTTCACAGTTGCAGGCTGGGACAGACACATTACCAGTCTCCTAGTCTGGAGTAAGCTGTCAGGATCTCCCCTAGAGCTACCACCCTCCTTTCCTCACTCCCTGGGCTTCTTGCAACAGTTCTCTTTATCTCCATGCTCTGGCCCTCCAAGGTGAAGGCACCTTCTGATGAGGCAGCTTCTAAGTCACCTGTGAGTGCAAAGTAAAACACTGCTAAGCACAATCCCTGCAACCTTCCCAGATTATATGATCAGAGTGATGAATCCAAACTGGTAGCTTTCCTGTATACCAATGACACCTTGTTTAAAAAAAAAAAAAAAAAAAGGAAAAAACCAGATTCAATTCTCAAGTATCAACAAGAAACAAGCTTACATTTTAGAAATGTGTAGATTCAGGCCTGGCAAAATGGGGTATGTTTCTAATCCTAATGTCTTGGAAGGGTGAGGCAGGAGGATGGCAAGTTCAAAGCGAGCCTCAGCAACTTAGTGAGACTGTGAGATCCTGTCTCAACTAAAAAATAAACAGGGCTGGGGATGTGGTTCAGTGATAGGGTGTCCCTGGTTTCAATCCCTAGTACCACCAAAGCCCCCAAAGTGCAGGATCTGTATGAAGAAAACTATAAAACCTCACAAACAATAAAAGACAATCTGAAAAGCACATATGACAGGTCTCAAAAATAAAGACTGGACAAACTGCAGTGATGTTACTCTCTGCACTGGATTCACAAGCTGACATGCTTCTCATGGGGGTGGAAGTAGTCGAAGAGGGTTCACCAACTGAGGAAGGAGCCAGACCGTCACAGGGCCACAGTGAAAACAGCCACAAGGGCCTCAGTGAGAATCGGCAGCTTAGGAACAGAGCAAAGCAGGTGTAAGTGTGGTGAAGAGACTTAAACTGCAGGAGGAAAGACAATTCACTAAAGGTGCTAGGATGACAGGTTAAGTATTTTGGGAAAAAAATAAAATAAAAAATTTCAAAATATTCAACAAACTACCACGAAGTAAATACAAAGAAATTTTAAAAATAAGAAACAGGAAAAAAAAATCACATCATCTACTGAAAATCTAACAAATGAGTAAGAATTAAAATTTTACAACTACTTCATAAAAGAACTTGAATAAGAATAAAGAAAAATATTTATTATTTTCTGAGGGAAGGGTCTTTTTAAGCAAAATACCAAAGCAGAAAGATTGGGGTGCAGAGACCAACAGATTTGCAGCTTCAAAACCAAAACCTATGCACATCAAAGTCACCAGAAACTCCAGAAATGGCCCAAACACAGGGAAGAATTTGGTACAGGACAAAGGTGGTTTTTCAAATCAATTGAAAGATACATTATGGAACAGAGTGGACAATGTTAGTAATGGTTGACTTAAGGGGGGAAAAAATGAAGGTAGATTCCAAGATGACTGACACCTAAAATTAAAAAAACAAAACACAAAACAAACAAACGCAAAACGACTGTATTTCACATTTTACTAGTACCAGGGAAAAACAAAGAGATTATTTTAAAAATAATCTTGGAGTAGGAAAAGGCCTTTAAAACATGGTACAAAGCCCCAAAGTCTTAAAAGATATATGATCATTACAAACTTAAAATCTTCTACCTCAAAAACAACCCCGCCACCACTAAAACCAGAACAAAAAACCTTTATTGTAGTTAAAAGACACCCGGGGTGCGTTTTCAACTTGTAAGACAATATGAAGTAGCAAATCACAAAGGAAATACGAATAGCTAAAAAACAATTGAAGCAATTTCARCCTCAACCTCACCACTAACCGTCAAAGTCCCCACAGCAAGAATGCAGGAATAAGCCCCCATAATCGGAGGGAACAGGGCTTGAGTCTCACTCCTCTTAGCCCGGTCGTCCAGAAAAGCCCCAGTGCGTAATGCCGACGCAAGGGATGTCCAAAACAGATCCCAACAGCGAGAGCCGGAAGCACCCCGCAGGAGGCGAGCGCAGTAAGGCTTCCGAGCTCCGCTTCTAGTTAGCAACAGAAAAGGGTGAGGGCTCGCAAGCCGGCAGCTTGCACCCACATATTTGGGAAGGGTACGCACGAAACTCTCCATTGCCACCTCTGCGAATACTGGCAGGGTGCTGGGGAGAATGGCTTATTTTTCTAATATTTTTCTAATATGCTTGCATAAAAAATTATTGCATTCCTTTTCTATCACATAAATTAAATGCCAAAAATAAAATGTTTTGTTACCCCAAAATCAGTCTCATCCATTAATGCAGAGCTTTTACAAAGTAATAGTGAAAACACCTCATCGGTTAAATAAAACAGTTGTGGGGGGGTGAGAATTCGGAAAGAGGCACATTTGGCTCGTGCTAGCTTCGACCCGAAGGCGTTTTCGCTAAGGCTGGCGGCACCCAGGGTGGGGCGCGGCATACGCACGGTTGCTCAGTCGCACGCACAACCGGTAAACCTCTGGTTTCTAGCCCGGAGTGGGGGCGGCACCTGTGGTCCCGGCTATTCCGGGGGCTGAGGCAGGAGGACGCCTGGACTCAGGAATTCGAGGCAACACAGCGAGACACGGTCCTCTCAAACAAACAAAACGCCGCATCGTTTCTGAGTTTTGGGGGAGCCCCCTCCCCCATTCTCTCCGCCAAGATCTCGCCCGCCGCTCCACGACTCGGACTCGGGCTGCCGAGGCGCTGCGCCCACGGTGGAGAGGTTCCCAGGGTGAGGGGCCAGGGACGGAGGGGGTCCCAGGCTGGGGGAAGGGGAGAGGTCCCGGAGGGTCCGACGGAGGGGGATGGGAAAGGGAGGGGAGGGAAGAGGGTCCGGGCGTCCCGAGGGAGGGGCGGGGGGCGTGGCGAGCCGGGGGACTGGGCCGGGGGGAAGGGCGCGGCCTTGGTCCGTGAGGGCCGCCGCGGGGCCAGCACCAGTGTGAGGACCACCAGCTCTCGTGTCCACGGGGAAGAGGGTCCTACCCGGTACCGACCGGCGCCCCCACTCACCGTCCCCGCACCCTTGCGCGACCGCCGGCCACCCGCAGCGCCCTCAGACAAAGGGGCCGTGCCGCCCCGTCTGCGCAGCCGCCAATCCTAGGCCGGTCGCCCCTCCAGTCCCCGCCCCCTGCCCCAGGACCACCAATCGTGGAGCGCGACTCCTGGCCGTGAAATCGCGGGTTTCGCCTTTTGCCTGGCCCCGCCCCCGAGGACCCTGGGGCGGGGCTGCGGAACCGCTGAGGCTCACGGTGCTGCGAAAGGCGGCGCCAACAGCCCGCACTTCCGGCGGCTGGAGGACTCACTGCTCCGCCTGTGTCAGCGGATCCCACTCCTTCCCCTAACCTTGCCCTAGCAGTCCCTGCCGCCGGGAACGCTCTTCCTCAGACCCCTCCTGGCCGGCTTGTGGAAGCGCGCGGAAGTTGTCTGGCAGAGGCCCTGAGTTGGGATCTCMGCCCGCCTGGGGCGCGAGCCGTGAGGTGGGGCTCGGCCTCTCGCTGCTCCGGGCCTCTGCTGCTGGCGGCGCGGGCTTCTCGGCGCGGGTCGGAGCCTTGCGCTGGGGGAGGCTGCGCTCCTGAGGCGCAGAGGACGGCCRGGACGGGTTGGAGCAGAGGCGCGGCGGGGATTGACTCTTGCTGCCTGGGGTCCCGACCTGCGGAACAAATCCCGCCCTGGCCAGCTGGGGGCCGGAGGCGGTTGGAATCCAAGTGCCGAGGCCTGTGCGGAGCGCTTTCGTGAGACCTCCCGGCCGAAGGGGCAGGCGCTCCCACCTTGTGCAGGGGATGGACACCTTTCTTCATCTCCGCGCACAGCCGTGCACAACAGGACCCCTTCTGCCAAGGGCTGTGGAACTCGACAGAGGTCGTCAGAATTTGGCCCCTTTATTGGATRGTTCTAGATTGGTTTGCCAGGTGACAGGACCCGGCTCCATTCCAGTAATCTTGTCCCTAACCGAGAATTTATAATCCCAGGACCTTCACCTCTGTCAACCTGTTTTCTTCTTTTCCTCCACAGATTTTTTTTTCCCTTTCCTTCCTTGAGACAGTTGTTGGTTCTGGCAGTGTGGTGCAGGCTGGCCTCTGACTCCTAGAATCAAGCGATTCTCCTGTCTCAGCCTCCCAAGTAGCTGGGACTAGACTTTCATCACCAAGGGGACAGCAGGTGATACACAGAATAAATGTGGGAATTACAGAGTGTGTTCTTCCTCCTCTAGGGAAGAGCATAGATGCTGTGGTAACTCCCATGTATCCATGGGTCATCTGGGTGGAGTGAGACAACAAATAGTTTGAAAATGCTTATCCTCTGCTATCTCCTTCAATTCCAAGATGAAGGGTCACAGCTTTTCCTGGAAAGGTTTTCAGCCTGTTCTCCTGGGTTCCAGGTAATAGCTAGTCCTTACTCTCAATTTACATCACTTGCCTGCCCTGTTCTAGCACCACGTGTGAAGACAATATCCTTATAGAAACTGTCAGCCATATCCCATGAGGATGTGAGGTCACATATGTGGTATATTATGTATACTTATGTCTCTTCTGCTTTTTTTATGGAACCTTAATACAGTATACTTACAAAGAACATCCATTCTCATATTTGATCAAACAAAGGAGAATTAAACATTTAGTTTCCCTTTTGATTGCAGCTACTTCTTTTTTTTATTTTTCTAGAAGAGAGAGTGGGAGAGAGAGAATTTTTAATATTTATTTTTTAGTTCTCGGCGGACACAACATCTTTGTTGGTATGTAGTGCTGAGGATGGAACCCAGCATGCCAGGGGAGCACTACTGCTTGAGCCACATCCCCAGCCCCACAGCTACTTCTTTGTTTCTTTTATTGTTATCTTTTGAGTGTGTGATGATTTCAAGGCCTTTTACCAACTCAATGCAGTTAACTGCTATTGTAATTATTAGTTAGCATTTAAATGCCTGGATTGTCAGCAAGCCACAAGGAGGCCCTGAACCTAGTTACTGTGTCCATTGAACACAGTGTGTTCTAGGGCTCCTGTACTGCAGATATGGACATGGCCCCCTCAAGAGTCCTGACAGCTTTTGGTGGACAAGAGATTGAAAGGCCAACATCTGAGCTCTAAGGGTCACTTGAGATTCTTTGTTCATTGTTAAGAGTGACATGCTGAAAACTCCTTTTAAGGTGTTGATGCTGTTCTTACCAGTTTAACACAGTGTCTCAGGGTTGGCAATGAGTATGTGCAGCTGGAGTGTGGCTCAGTGGCAGAGTGCTTGCCTAGCATATTTGAGGCCCTGGGTTCTATCCTGGGTATCACACCATCAGTCCCTTAGAAATTTAATTACAGTAGCTTACCCCACTATATTTGTGGGGTTTTTTTCCCCTCAAGGAACAAGAAGTCTAAAAGTTGGCCATCTAGGACCCTGCAATACCACCAGGACTCTGTACATCCCCTGTATTTCCCATTAGCTGTCTTAATGTGGCTCTCATTGTTTCTGTCTGGCTTCATGGTTACAAGAAGAATGCTCCATCACTAGTATCACATTCATATTCCAGGTAAAATGGGAGAAGCAAAAAGATTTGCTCAGTCAACTCCAGATTAAAGAGCTTTTTCAGAACTACACCTTGTGGTTTTTCTTATATTTGTTGGTCTGAAATGTGTTATAATAGCATCTCTAGCTCTAAAAGGGCTGGGAAAATGTAGTTTTCCATCTGGGAGAGCACCATGCTGAACAACACTGAGGCTCTATAAGGAAGAAGTGGGAAATGGATATTCAGTAGGCAACCACAATTCTCCAAGTGTGTGGTATAAATGGCTACTAAGGCAGGCTCTCCTCTCCATGGTCTTGCATGCATAGTTGTTCTTTGTCATCAAAACAGTACACACTAGAAGCTGCCATGGTGCACATGCCTCAAACAAAGGAGAATTAAACTCCTTTTTGAACTTGGGAGGCTAAGAGAGGGACCAAGTTCAAAGCCAGCCTCAGCAGCGTAGTGAGATCATATCATAAAAACAACAAACAAACAAAAAAGACTGGGATGTAGTTCAGAGGTTAAGCACCCCTGGGTTCAATTTCAGTCCCTGGTAACAAAATAAAACAAAAATTTCACACTGGAAAGTTCATATATCAAATGTGGAAAGGATACTTCACAAAAATAAATTATAAGTCAGGTCAAAAAAGACAACCCTCAAATTGGAAAATTCATCTAACTACAGGCAGTATTGGGTAGAGGGTGGGAAGAAAAATGCTGGAGACCACTGCCTTCTACTTGTCCCTTTTATCCTCTTATGGGAGATTTTAAAGATATACAGAGGTAGAGAATATGATATAATGAACCCCAAGTGTGCCCATCATACAATTTAAATTATAGACCAACCTCTTCCTATCCAGTGACCCCCCCTACTCCATTTCAGGATTAAATTTTAACGAGATTTTATTTTTTACTGAAATATATGAACAGGACATGATATGATGCTCTCATATATGTTTACACTATGAATCAAGCTAGTTAACGTCTATTGTCTCACAAACTTACAATGTTTGTGGTGAGGATAATTAACATCTATGCTAAGCAATAATGCATTATTATAGTCACACTGCCTTTTATTTAATAATTATTTCCATACCTGTTTAAAAGATAAAGGCTCTTTAGAAAGTTAATTACAAAACTGTCATCCCACACGAGTATTCACTCATTCCATATAATCAGACATCCAGTCAGGGGTCATATTCTCCTATTTTTTATGATTGGTTTATGTGAATCCATATTCAAACCAGGTACACACAATGCACTTGGTCAATAGGTCTCATTTGGTGGGATGGGGGTTACTGAGAATGTAACCCAGAGGCAATTTACCACTGAGACACATCCCCACTCCTTTTTTTTTTTTTTTAATTTATTCTGAGACAGGGTCTCACTAAGT